GTGTCGGGGGTGTGCAAGGAGGGTGCTGGAAGGGGCAGCGGGTTGTTTGGGGTGCGGGAAGGGTGTTTGGGGTGCAGGGAGTGCGTAAATGGGGTGCAAAGGGGTTGTTGGAGGTGCAAGAAGAAGGGTGGGGAGTGCATGAGGGGTGTTGGGGTGCAGGACAGGCAGGAGTGTCCAAGGGGTTTGGGGGTGCGGGGTAAAGGGTGTTGGGGTCCCAGAGGGGGAACTCGTGCAAGGGATGTTGGGGTGCAGGAAAGGTGGGAGTGTGGATAAGTCTGCCAGGGAAAGCTTCCCGGTGCTGGGGGAGGAAGCATCAGGAAGGGGATTCCCCCCCTCTGCCCTGCCAGCTCTGGGCCCTTAAAAAAGAGGAAAGACTGGGAGAAACCAAACCCCCTCTGTTGTGTTGGTGTGGATGGATCCCTGGTGTTCAGCAGGAAAGATGAGATGCTCTAATTCCTCCTCTTCTCCACGCAGAGCTCCCTGAAAGAGTAGAAAGAGCAGAGGAGAGGAACTGCCTTGGCTTTGGGACACTGCAGTGATAAGCACCCAAAGGAAAATATTCCCTCTTTTGTACTTTTTATTGCTGTGTTATCCCTCTGGGTCTGTCCCTGCTGGACCTGCGTGGTAAATTTGGGGTGTTCCCCCTGGGATGTGACAGGGAGGGGGACACCCTGAGTGTGGCACCAGCTCTTCACACAAAACAAACCCGGTGTTTTCTGCCCCATCACTGCTGAGCTGTGGAGCTGTTTAAAGGAATTAGGGGGCTGTGGAGCTGCCTGAAGAATTTAGGAGCTGTTTGAGGGGGCTGTGGAGCTGTTTGGGAAATTAGGAAGCTGTTTGAGGGCATTTCCTCTGCAGAGGAAAGGGAAGGGAGAAAACGAAAGTGGTTGCCCCGTTTCCCGAAGCAGGAGGTGCTTTGGAGGAAAAGCAAAGCCCTGATTGCACTGGGCTGTGAATTCCCTGGCTGTGCCCTGGGCTGGGAGTCATCCAGCTCAGCAAAGTGCCTTGGAGTGTTTGGGAGCAGATAAAAATGCTCTGGCTGCGGGAAAACTCTCATGGAGCTCGGCCAAGGTCTCTGTGTGTGTGAGTGTGTGTGAGGCACTGAAACCCCGAGCTCCAGGCTTGGGTCCTGCTCCCACTGCTGCTCTGTCCATCTGCTGTGGGGAAAAAAAGGGGAGATCTGACCCTTAAAAAGGACTTTTTTTTTTCTTTTTGATCCCAAAAGGGCTTTTCTGTTTGTGGTGGGAGTGAGTGGAAAACAGTTCCTGGGCTTGGGGATGGCAGAGCAGGGTCTGGAGGAGGTTGGAGGTTGTTGGATGTTGCAGAGAGAGGCATTTTGGTGCTGGGAAGGGAATGTTTTGGTTCCAGCAAGTCATTTCCTCTGAAAGGGAAACTGGAAACGGTGGAATTTAGGGGGGGGAGGTCACAGAATCCTGGAGTGGTGTGGGTGGGAAGGGACCTTAAACCATCCCATTCCACCCCCTGCCATGGGCAGGGACGCTTTCCACTATCCCAGGTGGCACTTCCAGGGATGGGGCAGCCACAGGTGCTCTGGGAATTCCATCCCAGCCCCTCCCCACCCTCACAGGGAGGAATTTCTCCCCGGTATCCCATCTGGATTGACCCTATTTTCCACCATTAGATAAAATGCTGAATGGTAAATGGCATCTTTTTTACCCTCAGGTAAAGCCTGAGGAGCTCCAGCCTGGCCTACCCCCCGTAAGCCTCTTGTCTTTACCCCCCTTAACACTGGCGGTGTTGCCACCCTGGCTGGGATTTGGGGATTTTCAGCTGGTGTTTCTCACAGTGCTGGGCCTTGTTTTGCTTGGAGCTGTCCTGGGAAGGCTGATCCATCTGCAGATTGACTGGAGGGAGATCAGTGTGTTGAGGACTCTCGAGGGGAGTTTGGGGAGGATCATCCATGGGGTGATTTCTCTGCTGGAGCTGGTTCCCCACAGGATGTGAAAACACCCCTGGAGGATGTGAGGAAAGTTGTCCTCCCCTGGGGGCTGTAATTGCTGATGGGACAGAGCTCAGGGAGAAGCTGGAGGCGTTGCAGGGCTGGAACCTCCCTTCTTGCGGTGGCACTTGGGACAAAAAGCTCCTTCTCCAGGAGAGCCTGACCTGCTCCTGACCCAGCTGGGGGCACAGGATGTCTGGGAGCTGATTTTTCCCGTGGTTGTGTGTGGTGCTGACAGCAGGTACAGGAGGTTCTGTGCTGTCCCAGACCTGCTGGGGTGAAGGTTGGGAGGAACATCTCCCTCCATGCCAGAAAGGGGATGGAGAATGAGCTCAGGGCTTGTTGGGAGGGGATGGGGTGAGGATTTCAGTGGCTCAGTCACACTTTGGAGCTTCCCTGCCTGTTCCCAAAGTCCTGAGAGCCCACCAGGGAGCTGTGTGACCATGGTTTCTTTGGGCTCTGTGGTTATTTAGGCTTTTGGAGGTGGCAGGTTCTGCATCCTCCCCCAGTTGAGGAGCAGCTCTTCTTGTTCCAGCTCAGAGGTAGAAAAGTCAAGGCTGACCTGTTTGACTGACCCTCCCGTGGGTGTTTCCACCCACAGCTGGGTGCCACGAGCTCAGCTGGCAGCTGTTCCAGCTGATAAAAACCCCCCTGAAAAAGGGGGGGGGGGTGGATTCAGAGCTGGTGCCTTCTCCAGCCAGCAGGCATCTGCTGCAGAAACGCTGCTGATTTCCTGGTGAAGGCATATTGTGTTCTCTGAGCCTTTGTTAGGCTGCTCCTGTCACGTGAACTCGCAAAAAGCGTGTTGTGTTCAGGAGGAGAGAGGGGAAAAAAAAAAAAAAAAGGGAGGAAAGAAAGAAAAACAGCAGGTCACTGGGTGAACCCCAGCCTGGCACTTTTGGGTGGTGGGTGTTTGTTTTTTTGGTTTTTTTTTTTTTATAATGCCCAAGCTGGAAAGCAGGACTACCAGGGCTCTTGTGGTTGGTTGCCTGTGCACTCCTGCCTTATGCAAGGAGGATTAATTTAAGTAGGTGGAGAAGTATTTCTTGGCTGGTTATCAGGGGGTGAGGCTCCCTGGGGAGGCTTGTTGGCTTCAGATAGGTGACAGGAGCTGGGGAGGGCAAGGGCAGATCCTCAGCCTTCACACCTGATAAACTGCAGCTCCCTCTCACCTCCCAGCTCTGCCTCTGCCACAGGAGAGCCTGGCTTTGCCTGCTCCCTGGGCTGCTCATCCTGTTTAATCCTGGCTTTGGCTACTCTTTGGGTTCTTTGCCTGTCAGATCCTGGGTTTGGGCTCCTCCTTGGGCTGTTTGTCCTGTTTCTTCCACAGCTCCAGCTGCAGGCCAGGCCGCGCTGGTGGTGATTCAAACTGCAGCCTGTGTGTGGGTTGCTCTGGGGCTGTGGTGTGAGTTTTGAAAACCCCTTTAGAGTGGCTCAGCTCACCCCCAAAAAATTAAGTTGATATTTATCCCCATGTGACATCCCTGCCCCATGAAAACCTGCCCTGCTTCTCACCAGGCTGGGGCACGGGGTGCCTGTAAATTGATTTTTCCTGTGGCTCTGTGGGGTTTTAGCAGGTACAGGAGGTCCTGTGCTGTCATGGGAGCTTCTGGGCTGAAGTGAGGGTGGAAATACCTTGGGTTAGTTCCCAATAACCTCCCCAAATAGAAATGGTGTTTGCTGCTTCCCAGGCATCCCAGTGACAGATTGAGACTGGGATCTGCTGGCTCACAGCGATGCCTTCAAGTCAAAACTGGCAGAGAAATCAAAACTCCAGCCCAGATCCCAGGTGGAAGCAGCTTGGCAGAGGTGGGTCCTGCTGAGTCATGCTGACAGTGGGGCTTTTCCCCCAAGGGGCACCACAAAAATCCAGCCCTTCCCGAGGAGGAGGAGCAGCATCCATGGCTCTGTGGATGCTCAGTGCCTTTCTGCCTTCCCAGGAGGGTTTTTGGGAGCCTTTGGGTTTATTTGCAGTGCCTGTTCACAGGTTCCAGGGCTGTGGAACAGGGAGCTTTGCTGGAGGCTGCCAAATTCCCTGGTGTGGGGTGATGCCTTTCATGAGTGCCAGCTGATGCTGGAGTCTGGAATTCCACTGGCTGCCTGGCCAAGGCCCTCTGCAGAGAATTCCTGGGGGATTTTGTTTCAGAGTGTTTGCTGCAGACGCAGCCACTTGCTTGGCTTGGCCTCGTGTAAACCCACCTCGGGTTTATTATCCTGGGTTAAAGTCCTGAACTCGGCTCTGATCCCTTCCTTGATCTCCCAGGGTGTGGGTGAAAGTGCTTGTTGCTTTCTAGAGCCTTGGGTGGGTTTAGAGAATCGAGAGTTCAAACATGAGATGGCTTTTGGTGACTTAACTCCTGCCTCTCAAGCTGAGCCGCAGGGATCCCTCCTTCACCTCCTGATGCAATTCCCGAGCTTCTCCTTGGAAAAATCATCCAGTGCACGGAGCTGCAGGTTGCTGAGCACCCCTTTCCCGTGGCTGTGGCTTTCCCAGGAGCCCAGTGTTTGCGTTTCCAGGTGTGAGGGCTGCACCAAGGGCCGTATCCCTTCATCTGGTTTCGGTGGGACGGGGGGGTGGATCGGCCACAAGAGCCCTCCCAGAGCGTCCAGCCCCAACCTGTGCCCCATCCCCACCTTGGCACCAGGTGCCAGCGTCCTGCCCTTCCTTGGACACCTCCAGGGGTGGGATCTCCACCTCCTCCTCCTCTTCCTCCAGGGCAGCCCCTTCCAGTGTAGCAGTGGGAAGGACTTCTGGCATCTCGATGTCAGGATTTGCTGGGGGGGGTGGGAAATGGGGTGAAGGGCCCTCCAGGCTGCTGGGGGACAGTGTCACCCTCTGGCTCTGCCTTTCCCTGTCCTGGGGGGGTGGTTCCTGTGCATTCCCAGCTCCCTCAGGTTGCCCTTCTAGGAACCCTGTTGCCCAAAGGAGTGTGTCACAAGCTGCTGAGCCACTGCAGGGCAGGCAAGCCGGGGCAGAGTCAGGGGTGTTGTGAAGCAAGAGGCAATTACAGACCTAACTGTGTTATTTCTTCACTGGGAACAACCACGCCAGCTTGATTCCTTGGACTTTCCATGGATAAACAGGAGCAGAGGTCACACATTCCCTCCCCCTGGTGTCGCAATGGGAGCGTGGATTTGAGCTGGTGGCATCAGCAGCGCCCTGGCCTTGGCATGGGGGGACCCAACCGACCCCCCCCCACCCCCCCTAAAGCTCTTGGAAGTCTTGGAGCTTTTGTGCCTGCGTAACCAAGGCTTCTCCCTCCGTGTGCTTTGTTGCAGACAAGGATGCAGAGCTTGCAGCCGGACCCCAAAGCCCAGTACAGGAGCGTGTACGAAGCTCTGAAGAGGATTGTCCTCACTGAGGGGCTCTGGAGGCCTTTACGTGGGATTAATGTCACCATGCTGGGGGCTGGCCCTGCCCACGCCATGTACTTTGCCTGCTATGAGAAAATGAAAAAGTCCCTCAGTGACACCCTGCAGCAGGGAGGGAACAGCCACCTGGCCAATGGTATTTTGGGGGGGGGTTGGGGGGGGTTTGTCACCCCCTTGTGGGTTTATCGACCTGTCCTCCTCTTGCTTCGTGCTCTGCCCCTGGAATATCTGCTCCAGGCTGGGTTTGCAGGTGGGCAGAGGTGGCACCTGCCCCTGGGTTGAGCCCTTCTTGGTGGTCGCCTCGTTGCTCTGACACCCTTTGTCCTGCCCTGGGTTTCTGGGGGAGTGCTTGGCAGGTCTCTCTTCCAGAGTTCAGGGAATAAATTATCTTCCTCCTTGCTGCCTCTTGCCAGGAAGAGGCTTCCCATGGTTGCCTTTCAAGTAGCTACAGGCTTTTGGTACCAGCAGCAAAAAAAAAAAAAACCTGAAGCTCTTGGGTTAATGAGAAATGACCAAAAGTCATTTGGGCAAGAGGGAATTTGAGGTGGGAACCCAGATCAAAGGGGAAGGTGTGGCTGGAGAGAGGCCCTTCCTGGAGCCAACTGCAGGATCATTCATGGCTGGTTGGATTTGGCAGAACGTGGGCAATTAGTGTTTGAAACCCAGGCTGAGTAAAGGGCTGAAAAAAGGCCTAATTATGGATGTGCTGAGGTGGTTGCAAACATTGCTCATGTCTCAGTCATTGAGGGGTGGGGGGTTGTGGTGTGGACAAAACCCTGGGATTTGTTGGGAATAGTGGCCGTGAGAGGATCCTGGTGTCCCTGGGGCTGCTCTGGGTGGCTTCTCCTGTCCCTGGGGGTCACTGCAGTGGCACAGGGTGCTCCCATGGGTGGCAGTGCCTGGGCAAGCCCTGCTGCCCTTTCTCAAGGCTGCTCTTGCCTTGCAGGAATAGCTGGGAGCGTGGCCACGCTGCTCCACGACGCCGTGATGAACCCTGCCGAAGGTAAATCCCTGGGAAGGGCAGGGCTGCACCCCCTGGGCCTTGGGACAGCACCCAGGACACCCCCCTGGGGCTGGGACAGCACCCAGGATAACCCCTCAGGCCATCCTTTCTTCGTGGGAGTGGGTTTTGGTTTTCCTGAAGCTCTGGACTGACCAAGCTGAGCTCTCTTGTCATGGTTGTAGCACAAGTGCAGCAACCAAAGGGACTGTTTTATGTGCCTCCCTGGGTGGGTAAAGTCTGCCTTGAAGAGGACTCGGTAAAATGAAGGCTCCCAGTGTAAAATGCAGCTAAAATGACAATTATCTGGCCTGCAGCTACTCAGTGCACTCCTGAGCTGGCCCAGAGTCAGGTTTTTCTGAGGGAAGAAATCTCTGGCGTATCAAATCCTTTTAATTATACCCTGATGAAATGAAGTAAATTAATTGGCCTTTTGCTGGAGTCAGTGGAAGTTGCTCCAGTCAGTGGGGCTGGACGTGGGTCTGTTCCACTTCCCAGGTGAGGGACAGTTATTAATTCACTTTTCTGCCCTTGTCCTCTTGGTGTGCCAGTGTTTGTGCCCTGAGGGTCTTCATCAGTCTGGCTTAATGCCTTTCTGCCTAGAACTAAAGGGTCATTAATTAAGCTGGAGGAGAGGAGTTCATTAGCCCATGGGAGTGCAGAACTGGGGCTGAGCTCTGACCTGCTTGCCTCACTGTGTTGAGTTTTTTGGGGGGCATTGGGCAGTTTAGGGGGCTCAGTTTGGGCTTGGAAGGAGATGTTGGGTGTGGGTGGCTCAGTTTAGGGGGTGTGGAAGATGTTGGTCTGAGTGGGTCATTTTGGGGGGTGTGGAAGGGGAGATCAGCTCTGGGTGGCCCAGTTTGGACGTGGAGGGCGAGGGGCTGTTTCAGGGTGGTTGTGGCTGGAGCAGGGGGTCAGCCTGGGCTCTGAGACGACCAGCACAGCTGTGTTGGAGCTCACAGCCCTCTCTTCTCCCGCCCTGCCAGTGGTGAAGCAGCGCATGCAGATGTTCAACTCCCCGTACAAGTCGGTGCTGTCCTGCGTGAGGACCGTGCAGAGGACCGAGGGCTTCGGCGCCTTCTACCGCAGCTACACCACCCAGCTGACCATGAACGTGCCCTTCCAGGCCATCCACTTCATCACCTACGAGTTCCTGCAGGAGCACATCAACCCCCGCCGCGAGTACAACCCGCGCTCCCACATCGTGGCCGGGGCCGTGGCGGGCGCCGTGGCCGCCGCCGCCACCACCCCCCTGGACGTCTGCAAGACCCTCCTGAACACGCAGGAGAACACGGCCCTGAGCTCCCTCAACATCAGCGGGCACCTCTCGGGCATGGTGAACGCCTTCAGGACCGTCTACAGGCTGGGGGGGCTCCCGGGCTTCTTCAGGGGGGTGCAGGCCCGCGTCATCTACCAGATGCCCTCGACGGCCATCGCCTGGTCGGTGTACGAGTTCTTCAAGTACTTCCTCACGAAGCACAAGCTGGAGAAGAGAAC